ATTTATAGCTTCTATAAGATCAGCTTCTGAAGAATAAATTCCCGACGAAATTGAAATGTTAACTGACTAAATATCGCCGTTCGAAAAGGTATTCGCGAGCGTTATCAGAGCTTCATCTTCGCGTAAATGTAAAAAACTAGAAGNAAACTGAATCTCGCTGAGAGCAACTTCCCATTTTCCCTGCAAATCTATACGGCGAGGTAATTCCGTGGTAAAACACGAAGTGGTGTTGTGCGGGAAGGAAAACATACTGCTATTGCTCGGGAGAACTACGAAAAAGTGTTCCTCCATTGTCATCATTATTGTCGCTATCATTGTCTTGTGCAAGCGTTGTTAAACTTGAAGCCGGAATCCACGAGTTGAATTTAGACGGATAACTTTGCCAACTGACTAGCAGTTGCTTATTACGTCCTCGACCTTTGCTTTTTATCACCCGATCAACGATGAAAGTTTCTTCTTGTAGGTTTTTAACAACAGGAGCCAGTTCTTGCTCGTAAAAAATTCCGTCTATAACCTCATCCGCTAAATCACTCAGCTCGTAAACGCGCGGATTTTGCCACTCGAGAACACGATGAATTCGAAATATCTCTGGTCCACTTGGCCTCGTATCCCTTCTCAAAGGCGGCTTTCGCTCTACTGACGCGTACGAGATCGCCGACGGAGTATTTAGCTGCTTTCGCTCGCTGTTTTTTCCAGCGATGCCACGTGTTTTCGCGCGCAATATTCGCGTTTTCCATCGTAACATCNGCGGGTTTCATGCGTATGGAAGAGTGCGGCGTATGGTTGTACGCGTGCACAATATCCTGCAAGACATNGAGATAGCGTTTCGTGTTTTTGTGCGTGAAGTAGCGCCACATGCGCTCTTTTAGCGTTCTATTGAAACGCTCGATCACGGCTGCTTTAACGTCTGGATTACGCGCCACGCGGAAACGAATTCCTTCTTCCTTGAAAAATTTTTGCAGCGGATGCGCGATAAATTCTTTACCTTTGACGGTTTGCAGATAAACGGGTCTTCGTCCGCCACTTCTCGAGAGCACGCGTTGAAACGCACGAAGGACTTGAGCACTTGTTTTGTCTCGCAACAGTTCCACCCACGCGAATTTGCTGAGCACGTCGATAATTGTCAGTAGATAGCAATATCCGTCGTTATAGCTTCGCAAATTTCGCAATTNTATCAAATCAGCCTCCCAGAGATCGTCGATATTCGTCACGTTGTAATGCAGTCGGGGCAACTTTTGCCTCACGGGACGATGTAGCGTGGAAGCATCTTGCAAACAAAGCCAGCGAACAACGTCCTCGCTCGAGTAATTCGGTTTAGCGGCTTGCGACAAATTTCTCGTCGACGAGTAACCGGCGTAATGCGCGGGATTATAATACAACCGGTCAAGCGTTT